TGCCCCTTTTCTTCCTATTTCACATTACCTATTATACATTTAGTCCTTATTTACACTTTCAGTTTCTCACACCAGAGAAACTATTCGGTATTTTGTGTACATTTTTCTGTATGGTCTAGCAGCTGGTTTTTGCTAAATGGAATTCAGTCTGTTTATGGAGTTGGGCATGGTTATATATTATGTCAAGGAGGTGCAAAATTACAAAGGTGGATGGCTTTAGGTGTCACGTATTGAGATCTGTTTCTAAGTATGTAATACCACAACAATATTTGTTACATGCGAGAAAATGGCATGGCACAGGAAGCAGGGAATTAAGAGGCAGAAGGTCAGTACCACTGCACTGCTGCCTTGCTTTCTGATCTGGACAGGTTTCTAACTCCTGCAAGCCTCCATTTCCTTACTTGTTATATATAAACTAAAAATGCTTCCTTGGAATGGTTGTAAGGATTTAATTGGAGAATATAGATGAAAACTCTGCATACTGTTATGTGCTATTCACATATTTATTTTAATAAATAGTGATTACTGTGTGGCAGGCCCTTGAAACCAATTATTTCAATTCAGACTTCCCATAACACCAAAAGCAGGTGTTATATCCAGTCAGAAGAAGAACCTGGGATACAGAATGTCTTGTTGTGTAGTTCAGGCTGGATTTGAACTTACTAGTAGTCCATGCTGGACTCACACTTGCTGAGATCTTCCTGCCTCAGCCTCTCGAGTGCTGGGATTGCAGGGGTGTGCCACCATGGTCAGCTAAGTCTCAGTAACTTGCTCAGGGAACTACCATGAAGTGATGGTGTCTGATTTAAGTCCCTTTTCGTCTTGTTTTCTCTTTTTGCTGTGCTGCTACGCTGTTAATCATGGATAATTAGTGGAGGCTTAAACTCTTAACAGCAATTTGGATTGTGCTTTCAAGAAATGGAAGTAGTGTCTTAGACTAGCAGTCAGGAGATCCAGACTGTCACTGTGTTTTTGTCTTATTTTTAGATAAGTTGCTTAAATGTGTCTTATTGAATACTTGACTATCTTTCTGCTAAATATTATATAAATGTTTTCTTATGATTTTCATCTTTATCAAAATTAAAAATTTTTACTGTGATCAAGAGTGTTTTACAAATCCTTATTTTAATATTTCATTATTTTTTGTGTTTGTTTTTAGTCATTCCTACACTGGCCAGGATTACAGTACACAGGGAAACACGGGGAAGATTTCTTTAGATCAGATTGATTTGGTAAGCATCATATCCTTTTATACTTAGACTTTTGTTAATGGAGGAAACCCAGATTTTCTTCAAAGATTTTTTGGTGATAAAATGGGAGAGAAGGCCAGGATTTAGCTCAGTGGTTCTGCCGCCTGCCTCGCAAGTGCAAGGTCCTGAGTTCGATCCCCAGTACAAAAAAAAAAAAAAAAAAAGGAGAGAATGTAATTTTGTGGCTTCCTGATCACTCTTAAAGAAAATCGCATGTCCTATGCATATGATTTGTTTTCAACATAAGGAAACCAAACTTAATGAGAAAATTGTTTATAGTTTAATGAAACGATTCAATAAATTATTCCAAATACCAGTCTTTTAAGTAATGATAGCCAAATGGTGAATTATTATATTTGAATATCATATATATTTAGTAAAAGAGAAAGGGGAAGTGATAAGATCAGTTTGCTAGATTGTCATAACAGAATATCACAAGTTTATATTGTTCTTTATGGCACAGTGGTACTCCATCGTGTATAAATACTACATTTTCTTTATTCATCTGTTGGTGGGTAGATAGGGCATTTTCAAGATTTAGCTAGTATAAATTGTCCTGCTAGAATATCATTAGTACACTTTGCTATACTTTAATTTTTAGAATTTCTCTTTAATTTCTAATAGTTTATATACAAATGAAAAATAAGCTGTACATAAGATAATCTTTATTTAGAGAGTTACCAA